ACAAATGTGTAAATGTTCGTTGCTGTTATGTCATCATTATATATTACTATTATTATTGTTCAGGAGCATGGGCTTGGGTATTAGAGATTGGACAATGTTGATTAGAAACTTAAGGCTGGCCTTAACTTAGCCTGAGATGGGGATAGACCATGGTTGGTTTCTTAGTTGTGGGAGTGTGGGCTTTTGTGACTGACCCTGATAATTACTTGTTGAGAGGTTGTAGATTTCAGAGTGTTTCCATTTTCATTAGGACTTATAGAAAACAGGGGATTCTGAAATAGGAGCTGTGAGAGCCAAGTGATGGACTAGTACATGGAAGGAAGAGTGAGTGTCTGTAGCTACTAGGTGGGGGCGAGTTTGCTTGGGTAATTAGAACAGTGGCTTTCAAATTTTGTAGACTCTGACCCCCTTTTTTAAAAAAAAATTTTTTAATAAACTCTATTTATTTTTGAGAGAGAGAGAGAGATTGAAGCAAGGGAGGGTCAGAGAGAGAGAGAGAGGGAGACACAGAGTCTGAAGCAGGCTTGAGGCTCTGAGCTATGGACACAGAGCCTGAGGCAGGGTTCAGACTAACAAACCATGAGATCATGACCTGAGCCGAAGTCAGATGCTTAACCTACTGAGCCCCCTAGGTGCCCCTACTCTGACCCTTAATAACAAAAAGATTTTATATTGCAGCCCATCACATGTGTTTACCTTTGTATATTTATATGTATTACCAGTAATAGATGTCACAAACATACATATTTCATAAAACAGTTCTGTGTGAAGCACTCTGATATTTTCTATTCTATTTCATTCTGTTTTCCTTTTAAGAAAATGTTGGTCCTGACTTCCTGAAATGATTTTATGAGTTAATAAAGAGTTGTGACCTGCAGTTGAAAAGTATTGGTTGGGGTATGAATTAATCCTTTGAATGTTACCCTAGAAAAACAGTTTGACATACTTTGTCATCTAGATAAATGAGTTGGCAGGTGCTCTGAAGCAGGGGACCAAGACTTTTGCTTACTCTGGCTCCCTTAGCTGTTGTTGTTTAGCTCTGCTTGATCACTTGGCTTTACCTGAGCACTTGGCTTTCTTCAGGCCAGGCTGTTTTTGTCAGATGGTTTTTTGTGTGTCTGGGAGCTAGCTCCTTGAGGGCAAGACCTATAATAATAGCTAACGGTTCTGTAGCACTTCTGTGCTAGGCACTTTTCTGTTTTACATATATTAATCTTCACCACAATCTATAGGTACCTTAATTATTTGCATTCTACAGATAGGGAAAACAAAGCATACAAGGTTAAATAGCTTACACTTCTTTAGAGTTCTTCTGTAGCTTACCTTAATGTCTTGTGTAACATCTGCCATGCAAATGATGTTATTAATAGTTACTGGTTGAAATTAAACCAATACTTTCTGGGCTTATTTTCTTAGCTTCCTATGGCTTTTCTCACCACAAACTTATTCAAGTGATTAGAGAGTAATAGAAATTGAATTAAAAATGATGTTAAACTTTGTTTACGGAGGGAGTACAGAGTTTATTTAAATCGGTCAAATTCAGAATTTGAATAATGGCTATGCTTTGAGTCCTAACATTAAGACTGTAATACTTCACCTGACCTGTGCTTGGCAATGAATAATGTTGCAGAAATGCCCATGTATTCTTAGCTCCTTAATTTACCAATTTGGGATCTTAATATTCTTTCTTCCAATCCACCGCCCACTGCAACAGCTGTTCTATAGTGGCCCACACCTCCAGAGTTAATGGCATTTCTGTCACAGTGTGAGTTTTCAAGTTGGTATTTACGGTTTTGCCAGAGTCTTCACTGCTACCAGGCCTCAGGGTTGGAGGTTGCAACTGACTTGTGGGGGAGGGAGTTTGGTGCTTGTCACTGGGGAGGAACAAGGTGCTCTCTGACGCTCTGATTTGTTACAGGCGGAGTGTGAATGATGTCAGGCAGATCTGAGGACAGCTGATTCATTTGGGATCTGGGACTCCTCACTGTGCCTCATTGCTGCCTCCTGGGCGTTTAAGTCTTTTGCAGTGGGGGTGGGGTGGGGGGATTCTGAATATTATGTTTTAGAAGAACAGTGCTTTAATTTTTCTCTTAAGTTTGGGAAACCTTTGTAAGTTTCCTTTGGCTTATAGACTGCATACCCCTTGTGTGAGAGAACTTCCTGCCAAGACTCCCGAGTGTGAGAGGGCAAAAGCTTGAGTAGCCAGGAAAATGATGAAACGAAGGAGAGAGAGACTGGGAGCACCATGTCTGCGGATTCAGTAAGGAGGCTGGGGTCTCTGAGTAGAAACTGGCACATGTCAGGAAAAGAACTAATGCCAACTAACACACTTTCATTTGCTTGGATAAAGACTCTGCTTTGGAGATGCCAAGAGGGCTGGGCTGGCTTCATAAATTCAAGGTCAAAACACTGGTCCCTGGCAGGGGCCTATGGAGCTTCTAGTTCTGAAAATTGAGTTCGATATCATTTTAGGGGTGCTTAGGTACCTGGGGAACTGGGTTAATGATTAAGATCTTTTTTCCTGCCTTGAAAGCAAATGTGTATTTAAATTTACTGTCAAAGCTGCCTATACAAGCTCCATGAATGTGGGAAACATATGGAAGTGAAAGTATCTTCTCCTTGGACTGGAGAGGGTATTGTATTTCTGCCCCTGGCCTGTCAGCTCAGGACCTCAGATCTGCCCTTGCAGATCCAAGCCTGAGTCCTTTCAGGTGTGACCTAATTTTATTTCTGTGTTGGCCAATATAGAAATAAAATAGAAATAGAAGAATACTTAGATAAGGATTTCAAAGCTGGGCAATGGAAGAAGGCTTCCATTTCAGGGTAGCTTTTCCAAGAGCTGCTCAGGCTTATTTAATGAAGAAATGCAGAGTGAATTGATCAGCAAGTTAGGGAACCAGGGAATGAAGTGTCCTATAATCCATTTCATTCATTGATCTGTCTTAAACTGCTTTTATGTAACTCACAGGGTAGAGGGAATGCACTTCAGATTTTCTTCCCCTGAATGTTAGTGTTTACCTGGAGTTAGTGTGGTATACTTAAATAGACATACTTCTTCAGTGGGCTTTCTTTGGATCATTGCCTTCTGTGTTAGTGGATGCTCATTGATTGAATTAATGATTCAACAAGACCTTGGAAGACTGGACTTGTTTGAAATATATAATTAGAAGGATTGGCATATGTTTTAAAAATTCTCCTACTTAGACTAAAAGTTAAAGACCATAAAAAAGAAGCTTCATGAACTAAAGTATCATTTAAAGTAAAAAGGACTTGTTAGTAAAACTTTAAATTTTTAAAATTAAGCTTGTAGTTTAAGAAAACATAAGTGGTCAGAATCATGCTCTCCAAATGTTGTTGGTGCACTGCTATTGGTAATCATTCGTGATTTTGAATTTAACTTAGGAAAATTCCCCCTGAGGAGCTAGTAAGTAGTTTCTAAATAACCTTTCCTTTTTCAAACAATCCTTTTTAAACTCTAGCCTCAGTGTATAACCAGTTTGCAGAGTGTTAATTAATAGATAGTAGAGAATGAGAATTGGTTTTCATAGATTTATAATCTTAATTATATATTCATCAACATGACTAAGCCTCATATTATGTGATAAGATTTATAACTCCATAAGCAATATTATTTAGGTTCATAAGAACTGTCTTTTCAAAAATAGTTTTTAAAATATTTTTATTTATTTTTGAGAGAGAGAGAAAGCGGGACAGGGGATCTGAAGTGGGCTCTGTGCTGACAGCAGAGAGCCTGATGCAGGGCTTGAACTCACAAACCCATGAACGGTGAGATCATGATCTGAGCTAAAGTTGGATGCTTAACTGACTGAGCTACCAAGGTGCCCCAATAAGAACTGTCTTATTGTATGTTCTAATTAGCTGTAGCTTGTATACACTAGGGAGTTGAGTTTTGAAATAGTTCCTTAGAAAAGTGAAAATTCTTTTTGAAAGTGAGGAATTAATCCAAAATTAATATTTCTACTTCTTGTAATTTTTATTAATATGTTGAGTTTGTGGAAATTTGTGCACACTGGTAATTTTAAATTATTTTCTGCCTTCTACATTATCATTTTGTATCCTCTTTTTGTGTACTCATCTGAGAAATATGCTGAAGCCAGCTATAGGGATAATTAGTAGTAAATATCTCCTTTGAATATATGTAATTAAAACAAGTAAAATGTCACCATATTCAAATAGCCAGTAGTAACAACATAGGCAACTAACATTTTTAAACAGGTGCTTGTGTGATAGATACCTAAGTTTTTAAAAAATCTTTGAAATGTTGTGGCTAAATATGGTGTTTGTATGGAAAGCCATGCTCCTACTATAGCAAATTAAATGCTGTGCATCTGTCAATTATTTTTCATCATCTGTGACATATCAATCAATGATCAACAAAGTAGAAATCCATATTTACCATCTGTTTTCAGTCTAATGAGGTTATTTACTTAATAGTCTTCGTTAAGACTTAACACATCAAGAGGGCTAGGTTGTTTTTAGGGGAAAAAAGTAAACTAAAATACTAAAATTTAAATAGAAGCAAAATTTATTGTACAGAATTAAATGATGTTATTTAATGTACTCATTAGTCAAGAATTAGCTAAATAAATTGGTGTTATGGTAGAGATAATCTAATTTATGAACTATTAATGTTTTACTTTTACGGACATACACATTTCTCTAGGAAGTTTTAGTCATTGAACATAAAATATTACTTCTTGCTAATTGATGATTTGTAGTAAACTTATAATATATTTCCAGAAGCCAATTCTAAATACTTTGAATACCCAAAGCTTAAATTTTTGGTTTTAATTCTGTGGATTAAGTTTTAGTCTCGATGGTCATTCTGTGCCAACACTACACTGAGGTATGATATGTGAGAATGATTTTTGACCACTATTTTTGAGCCTTTTGCCTAAACTAACCCACTTTGAATATATTTCTTTTTGGTTGAGAAATTATCCCTGACCCTTCTTTTTTCTACTGTGGTACCTTGTCAGAATCTCTACTCTTTGCCGAGGATCTGAAGTAAACCAGCACATGTTTCCACCCACATCGGCTCCAGCTCTTTACTTCACTAAAATCCCATTTAGTGCTGATTGTGCTTTGGCTACTTCTCCTCTTGCCTTTTTCCTGAACCCACAAGTTCACAGCAGTCCTGGCAGTCCCTGTTCCAGCCGCCCACTGCAGTGGAGGTAAGGAAACCTGCTGTGATGTGAGTGTGGCCTTAGTGATTGCTTTTGGCCAAGTAGGTAAAAACCCAGACCTTTCTCCTTAATGATGGGAAGAAACAGAATAAAAGTCACAGAGAAAAGTAAAAGGAATTTCAGAGATTTCTGCTGTATTCAAAATTCAAGAGAAAGTAATATAGCATATCAGTAGTTAAGACAGTTATGTGCCCATTGTGACTATTGGACAGCCCTCTGACCCCTCCATAGGAGAAGCATAGCATGGCAGAATGCTAGAGCTCTCTAAAGGTTAGCTAGTCCAAATGCCACATTTTATACAACAGGAAAACTTGATTCTGAAGTAGGTTAAGTGATTTGTTTATATTGCTGAAAATAATCTTCTCTTCAGTTCTTTCTGTCTTTTCGTATAATCAGCATTTGAGTAATACTATGTGCTGGACAGTGTTTTAGGCATGAAGAACAAAAGAATGAACACAAAGAGGTAAAATACCTGCCCTCCGAGGAGCTTAGATTCTAGTGGAGGGAGACAAATTAATGAATGAATATATAACAGATGGACATATGTGATATGGAGAAAACAGGATGAGGAGAATAGGGAATGTGAGGCATAGGGATTGACATTTTATATAAGATAGTCAGGGAGGGTCCTCACTCATAAGTTGACATATGAGCAAAGACCTGAAGGACAGTCACAGAGCTAGAATTAGAGATATCTGAAGGAAGAGTGTTTCAGACAGAGACAACACTAAGTGCCAGAGACCTGATCTAAGAGCTTGCTTCATGTGTTCTTCCACAGAATCCAGTGAGGCTCATGTGGAATGAGTTAAGAGGTAAAAAGTGGGAAATGAAGTCTGAGACATACGTGAGAAGCCAAATGGAATAGAGCTTTAAATCCATTACTGGGATTTTTGTTTTTATGTTGAATGACATAAGAAGCTGTTGGAGGGTTTGAAGCAGGAAAATGTTATGATCTGACTTAAATCCAAAGGATCCCTGTGGCTATAGTTAGAAGGGTACCTGGGGTGCCTGGGTGGCTCAGTTGGTTAAGTGCCGGACTCTTGATTTTGGCTCAGGTCATGATCTCACAATTCATGAGTTCAAACCCTGCATCAGGCTCTCCACTGACAGTATGGAGCCTGCTTGAGATTCTCTCTCTTTCTCCCTCTCTCTCTGCCCCACCCCTACTCACACTGTGTGTCTCCTTCTCAGTAAGTAAATAAGTAAGTAAGTAAGTAAGTAAGTAAGGCTACTGTACATTCTAGGTAAGACACAATGGTTGTTTGAACCTACGGTGGTACAGGTGGTAAGAAGTGGTCAGATTTGAGGATATATTTTGGAGGTAAAATCTATAGGATTTGTTGATGGATTAGATGCAGAGTTTGAGAAAAAGATGAGTGAAGGATGACTGAGAATTTGAGGTTGAGCAGCTAGGAAACTGGAAGAACCATGAACTGAGACTGAGAAACTGTAAGAATAGCTAAGACATTCAGTTAAAGATAGGTGAACTCTGGGTTGAAGATTTATAAGGAATTATCAGGGTATAAGTGAAACAAATGATTAGATTTATGAGATCATCCAATGAGTGTCTGTTGATAAGGAAGAAATGTCAAAGGATTGAGCCCTGGGGCCATCTGACTTTGAGAGATTGGGGAGATGAGGAACTAGCAGCAGAGGGACTGAAAAGGAGTGGCTTTTTAGAAATGAGAAGAATCAAGAGAGAGGTATATTGGAAACCAATCATAATTTTTCAAGAAGGAAAGTGTGTTTGATCAATAGGTATTTGTTAAGCTTTTTGTTAGGAAAAAAAAGTATTCTGTTTTTGCATCTAAGATACTTCGTTTGAGTAATATAGTATATTCTGAACCTAAATTGTTTTGCAGCCCCAGGTTTTCTCTTCCCAAAATGACATATTCATAACATTCTTTACTAAATATTCCCATACTGGGGGTGGGAATTGGTATTTCATAGTCCACTGTCACTTCCAGGCCCTTGTCTTTATTACCTTCTTTCCTCTTTTAGGCTTATTTTACTCACTTTTATCTTTTACCCCTGCTCATTGCTGTCATCCATTAACTTAGTTTTGTTCTCTCTATTCACATTCAAAGTCTAGCACAGAATCAGTGCTTAGTGAACACAGCGATGCACATAAATTCTACAAATCCTTACCATGTAGATAAGTCTGTTGAACATCACTGTTATTGAGCAACTGAGAAAATACAAGTTGAAAGAAGAGAAAAATGATTCTAGTAAACAATGTGAGGAACTAAAAATTGAGAGCTACTGGCAGTGAATTTGACCTCTAAAAATAGATGACCCAAAGGGTGCCTGGCTGGCTCAGTCAGTGGAGCGTGTGACTCTTGATCTCAGGGTTGTGGGTTCCAGCCCCATGTTGGATTTAGAGATTATTGAACAATAAAATCTCTTTTAAAAATAATAAAAAGGGATGACACAAGAGAGAGGGAACTCTCTTGCGGTGGCCATATTGAGTTCTCTTTTATTCCCATGGAGTATAACTATTGTTATGGATTGAGTTGTGTCCCCCTAAAATTCATTCGTTGAAGTTAAAATCCCTAGTACCTGTAATGTGAGTGTATTTGGTCTTTACAGGTTAAATGAGGTCATTGGGGTGGGTCCTAATACAAGTGGTGCCCTGTAAAGAGGGATTTAGGGCACAGACATAGAGAAGACAGCCATTTACAAGCCAGGGAGTGAGGCCGTAGAAGAAACCCACCCTACCGACACCTTCCAATCTCCAGAACTGTGAGGCAAAAAATGTCTTTTGTTTGAGCCACCTAGTCTGTGGTACTTAGTTGTGGTAGCACTAGCAAACTAATATAGACCTTGAGGCTTTTGGCTGCATTGGCCTAAAGTCCTAGAAAATAGTATCCTTTTGCTTGGTTGTTAGAACAGGCCCTGCTCAGAATCTTAACCTTCCTTATTGACTGCATCTTAGTGATGTGCTTAGGACCTTACAAATTATTGCCCATAATAATTTGAAGAACAATTACGGCACAGTTTTAAAATGATGCCTACTCTAACTGTATACTACATTTCTGTTTGTTCCTTGATAGGAAAGGATGGTTGGGTCTGTTTTAGGCAAGCTTGATGGTGGCTCTTAAATGTCTTAGATGGGTCTGATCAACCTTAAGAGGCATAATAAATATGATCATGATTGGGGTTGAATTAATTAACCTGTAACTTTAAAGTTTATTTTGAGAGAGAGAGCAAGGGAGGGGCAGAGAGAGGAGAGAGAGAATCCCAAGTAGGCTCTACTCTGTCAGTGTGGAGTCCAATGCAGGGATCGATCTGTGAGATCGTGAACTGAAATCAAGAGTCAGATGCTTAACTGACTGAGCCACCCAGGCGCCCTTACCCTATAACCTTTAGTTATCTTGTATATCTTCCAAGAATATGATTCCAGCCTATTGATTGGCATTCAGACATGGGTATTGCATTGTTGACATAACCTGATTTGAAGGGATGCTAGATATGGTCTATGGTGTAACTGGTATCCCTGAAGAGAGAAAAGGCAATTGTGTTTTTGGCTATTCCCTGGCCCAGCTAGGCCTCCTGGGGATAAGAATTTGGTGTTGGCAACTTCTTGAAACATAGAATGGTTTATATTTTGATTCAGTTTTAAACTGCCATAGACTTTGTCAGCCCTGTAGTTGGGAGGGTTTGCAGCAAGAACTCCTTATTAGAGTTTATATTGGAAGGGTTCTAGCTCTAGTCCACTCCCTACTGTGTAGGAATTCTTTTTTTTTTTTTATTTTATTTATTTTTTAAATATAATTTATTGTCAAATTGGTTTCCATACAACATCCAGTGCTCATCCCAACAAGTGCCCTCGTCAGTGCCCATCACCCACTTTCCCCTCCCCCTCACCCCCCTATCAACACTCAGTTTGTTCTCAGTATTTAAGAGTCTCTTATGGTTTGCCTCCCTCCCTCTCTGTAACTCCCTCCCCCCCCCCTTTCCCTCTCCCATGGTCTTCTGTTAAGTTTCTCAAGATCCACATATGAGTGAAAACATATGGTATCTGTCTTTCTCTGACTGACTTACTTCACTTAGCATAATATCTTCCAGTTCCATCCATGTTGCTGCAAATACCCAGATTTCATTCTTTCTCATTGCCAAGTAGTATTCCATTGTATGTATAAACCACATCTTCATCCATTCGTCTGTTGATGGACATTTAGGCCCTTTCCATAATTTGGCTATTGTTGAAAGTGCTGCTGTAAACATTGGGGTACATGTGCCCCTATGCATCAGCACTCCTATATCCTTGGGTAAATTCCTAGCCGTGCTATTGCTGGGTCATAGGGTAAGGAATTCTTTTTTATACAGTGACTAGTAAAAAGCTATTCAGCCTTCACTTAAACATCTTCAGCAAACAAATTCACTACTGAAGTTTGCAGCTGGTACTAATTCAGCCCTCTGACCCCTCCTGTGTCACATGTGTGAGAGGCTTTTTGTAGACTTTTACAGCAAAGGACAGGTGTTCTTTTGGACTTCCTCCAAGACTAGGCAGCCTTTGAAACCCCTTTTTGGTAGTGTCAAGATTGTTTCCTGCCAAAGAGAAAGCACTATTTTCATTTTACCAACACCTGCTTTCCTTGTCTGTCTTTTTTTAAACAACTGCTTTTCAAAGTGACTCTAAAAGAGGAACATCTCTAGAACTTGTTCTTATCCTGGCCCTGTTGTGGTCAAATTACTTCACTTCTTTCTGCCTCAGTTTTCTACATCATTAAAATGGGGATAAAAATAGCCCTTCAGGGGTTGCTGTAAGGATTAGATGAGTCAATACATGTAAAATTGTTGAGAATACTCAGGCTGCTATAACAGTTACTGTGTTGCTGTTTTTGTTGGAAAACTCACATGTTGCTGATCCCCACACTTCATGTTGCTTCTGTTCGTTTTCTCATATTCTTATTTTCCCTTGGATAGCTCTAGGTATCACTTATCATTATGTCCTGCCCACGGAAGCTTTGTTACTGGCAGCTGGG